CGGTGTGTGTGTGTGTGTGTGTGTGTGTGTGTGTGTGTGTGTTTACATGCTGGTACTGGGGTTTGAACTCAGAGCCTGGGCACTATCCCTTAGCTTTTTCACATAATACTAGTGCTCTATTACTTGAGCCACATCTCCACTTTGCTGGTTAGTTGATATGACTCTCAAAGACTTTGCTGCCCAGTCTGGCTTTGAACCAAGATCCTCAGATCTCAGCCTTTTTAGTCAGAAGATTACAGTGATAAGCCACCAGCACCCAGTTTTCAGGCTTTTTACCTCAGAGCACAAAGTATAGTATATGTAATTTTCTGTGCAAGGAGGGAAGTGTACCTAACTCTTCATACAACAGATACTCAATATTTGCACTGAATTGAATTCTTCATCTAGCAATGAAGGAAATACATTGTTATCTCAAAGCAGTTTTTTGTTTGCTTGGTGGTACTGGGATTCGAACTCAGAGCATTCAGCTTGCTAGGCAAGCACTCTTACTTTTAAGCCATACTGAAGGTCTTTATTGTATTTGTTATTATTTATTTTGGTGGGATCTCAAGGTTTTGCCTTGGGCTAACCTCAGGCAAAGACCACAGTCCTCTTCCTTACAGCCTCCTCAGATCACAAACCTCTTACCTACAGTCTCCTGTTTAGCTGGGACCAAAGGTGGTACCACCTTGCCTGGCTGTTTGATTGAAATAGAGTTCCACTAACTTTTTACCAGGACTTGTCTTCAACTATAATTCCCTTCAGTCTCCACCTCCCAAGTAGCTAGGATTAGAGATACCAGTCACTATGCCTGATTTAGTTGGAATTATTAACTTGTGATCTTTGACTAACAGAATTTGTGAAAATTTTGTTTTTATAATTCTTCAGGCAAATTTTAACATTGTGAATTGAAGTCACAAATCATGGTTGATGAGTCATGCCTGAAACTTCATTGCCTTCAGAGATCACAGATACTTTCATATCTTACTATAATAGTTGCATACTACTACAAATAAATTTATCACTCCTACAAAATCACATTATTTAATGGGCTTTTAAAACACTAAATTTACTGTTTCCCAAATTCAACTTAACAATGATTTTCATCCTAATTATTTTGCAATCTAATTATTTCTTTATATTCTTCTGAGAAGTCCATTAACAAAAATGCACATAGGACAAATGGTTAATTACCTCTGATTGGAATAAAAGTTTTTAGTATAAGTTAAATAATTAGAATCACTAATGATTAACATTTTAGAATAGTTCAATTGACAAAACAAGAATTTAATTAAAACACTGTTTTATTTTTATTGCTCTCTAACAGTTGTATATTGCCATTCAAATGACTTTCTTTGCAAATGTATAATGCTGATCCTGGAGTAATATACATTTTAAAACTCCAATTTTTTTAAGTTGAAATATATCACCCATCAAGCAAGCCGAATGAGGCCCTAATTTCAAATCCTAGTACCACCAAAAGAGAGGAGAGGAGAAAGGAAGGAAGAAATTGCCTTTCTTGGAGCTGGGGAGTCAGATCAGTGGAAGAGTACTTGAAGGCTTTGATTCAATCTCCAGTGTGTCCCAACATTGATTCCTAAAAACCAAAAAACCAAAACCAAAAACACCCTTTCGATGTGCATGCTACCAAGTCATTTGAATTATCTCTTGTATAATTTTGGAAATGCTATGTCTATTGAAGAGAAATGCTTTTCTTAATGAAATTGTGTCCATATATAGACAGGATTTGTTTTAAGTTTGTTGTGCTAGTACTAGGTTTGAACTTAGGGCCTCACACTCACCTAGCTTCTTGTCCACAGCAGCACTCTATCATTTGAGCCATGCCTCCAGTATGGCAATCTGCTGGTTAATTGGAGATGGAGACTTTTCTCCCCGGGCTTTTTTTTTTTAACTCCAATCCTCCAGGTTTCAGCCTGCTGAATAGCTAGGATTACAGGGATGGGCTACCAGCCCATCTGTATGACAATACTTTACCTGCATTTTTCCTGCACTTGAATCAAATAATACTAAGCTAATTTTATTATAAATGTATGCATTATAGAATGAAACATTAATTGCTAGTCAGTATATGCCGGTGTTTCCAACTTTTCAAGAGGCTAAGATGGGAGGAGACTTTGAGCCATAAGCTCAACATAGCAAGACTGCCTCATAAATAAGCCATTATTATTTATATAAAGTAGAGCTTTTATTTTACTGTTCAAAATTTAAAAAGGAAATGGTATCCATTTTACTTAGCTATACATTTTTAACTAATATGGGGAATCTCATTAAGGCTTAAGTCACACTTGGCACTAGTTCTTTTTTAGGAATTTAATAATGGTGAGAATACCTTGGGTTTTTATATTATATAAATATATATATACTAATATATAATATACATTTATATGCTATAATATATAAGTATTTATTAATAATATAGTCTTATCTTATTAAAAAGTTTTCTCAGAGCTGGGAATGTAGCTAAGTGGTAGAGTAAGAATTTACCATGTGCTAGACCCTGGTTCAATCCCCAAATTTCCAGATTTTCCAGAGAAGATATCATACCTTTTAGAAAGCCTTTTAACTTGGATGGTTCTATTCATTGAACTGTTTAAGGCTATGCCATCTTTTGTTTCATCATTTGCAACTTCTTATGTGAAATCTACAGTGCATATCTTAGTTGCTTAGCTGCAAATTATTTCCAGCTTTATGAGGTTCTTCCTGATAATGTTGTATGTAAAGCTGTATAAGGAACAATGCCTGTGTCTTAAGTTCCACCAAGGTGGATAACATGACTGGCAATGACTCCTCCTTAGCCAGTTTAATAACATTTAGGATTGAATAAAGCAATTTCCTCTAGGAGATTAAAAAAATTCTCTATACACAAACTAAAAAGACAGTCGGTAAATGGCCATAGCAGAAGAGGTTATCCTATGGAAAAGTTCTTTTATAAAGCCTTGCCTCCCTTACAAAAACCCTGGTTTGTTTTAAAATGTTTTTAGTGCAATTAGTGTGCATTAAATGAATTGCTGTATGAAGCAAAACACCAGCAGGACTTATTTCACAAGAAAGCTAATCATTTTCCCAGGTCTATAAAAAAATGCTGAATAAAAAAAGGTATTTACCTGTGGCATTGGATCTTAACCAGTAGGTCATTGTTTTAGATAATTAGGAAATGTTTATAATACTGCTTGTGGTGCTTTCCTTGATGATCTGCAATTGATGTCTGTCAATCAAGTAGTCAAGGAACACAAGGAGGAAAATGACTTCAATTTTCCTAAAACATGTAAAATAACAAACAAGTCTATACATGCACACCAACTGAGCCATTCTCTGTAGTAAGTATCATGAAGTACCAATATTATGAAGCACAGTGCTGTGAAAATTGAAGAGGTTTTAATATCACAATTTGTTTTTCATTTTCTTTCTTATTCCATATTTATTAAACTACAGGACAAACACAGATTAAATTCTAAGGGAGAAATATATTTTAACATGAAGTGAAAAAGAATGATTCCTTCTCAATTGTTAAATAATTTTCTAGCATTTCTCTTAAGAAAAACTTTGAATTGTACTTCTATGTCTTAACTTGTTATGAAGAATAGCTGGTTTAACATCCCAAAATAAGAATATATTATAGAATCCTTACTTAGATTTACTTCTTCAGAAAGTATATCTAAACTTTCAGCCATACTTTTAATGCTTCCTAGCAACAGTATTGTTTTGAAGTGTTAGTTCAGGATAGTAATAATTAATTGTAAATTGAGAAACAGCTTTGATTCTTCAAAACTAGAAAAACCTGATATACCACAGTCATTTAAGGGCTAACAAAAATAACACAATGCAGCCTTACATTCTCAACGAGATTGTAGTACTCAAAACATTTCATTCTTTCCAAGATGGATGAATTTTTCCTTATGAAAAAACCAGTCTTATTAGGCATTTAAAAAATGTTTCTATGTTTCTAAGCCTAATGGCACTCATTTGTATTTCTCTCAGGGAATCTGATCATTAGTTCTTTGCACTTACCTAGCTCTGCTTTTTCTTTACAAATTATTATAGTCACATGACTGTAGTAACAAGCGGTTGATAGGAACAATAAAATTGGGGGTACATTGGTCTAATATTTCTTTATACCTTAGTTCTTCGTTTTGTAAATCTATTCTCAGATTTTTGTGTGGGTTTTTTTGTTTTTTCTTTTTTGGTCGTGGGGCCTGAACTCTGGGCCTGGGCACTGTCCCTGAGCTCTTCAGCTCAAGGCAAGCACTCTACCATTTGAGCTACAGCTTTTTCTGTTTATGTGGTGCTGAGGAATTGAACCCAGGGCCTCATGCATGCAAGGCAAACACTCTACTACTGAGCCACCTTCCCAGCCCTTTTTGTATGTTTTTTAACTATCATTTTTCATATTTTCTTTTTGGAAAAGAATATTTCCATTGTTTTTAGTAAACTAGTTCCTCTTTTACCCATTTTTATACATTTTGATGTTTGGAATTTTATTCTTTCATATAACATTGGCTAGTAACCTTATATACCCTACAACAACAACAAAAATTAAGTTTTGTTGTGTTAAAAGTGGATGGATGAACTGGGTGCCCAGTAGCTCATGCCTAAAATTCTATCTACTCAGGAGGCTGAGATCTGAGGGTTTTTTTGTTTGTTTGTTTGTTTGTTGGGGCTTTTTGCAGTTCTAAACCACCACGGACAGGAAAGTCAATGAGACTCTCATCTCCAATTCAGCACCAAAAGCCAGAAATGGAACTGTAACTTGTGTTAGAACCCTAGCTCAAAGGTTCAGCCCAGGCTCAGCACAGCGCTCAGGCCCTGAGTTCAAGCCCCAGGACCAGCACAATAAATAAATAAATAAGAAAGACAGTCTGAGTACCTATATTCTACCCATAGTATTGTATTATACCTATATTTTAATTATACCTGTATGTTATTATGGGTACCTATATTGTACCTATACTATACCTATATACTATATACTACTTACCTAATTTTTATATTCATATCTTACTATATTTATATCTTGTGTTTTTTTTCTCCTTTGAAGGCTTATGATGGATTTGCCAGCATAGGAATTTCCCGGTTATTGGAGCCTTCTGATATGGTTTTATTGGCAATTCCTGATAAACTGACTGTTATGACTTACCTCTATCAAATAAGGGCACATTTCAGTGGCCAAGAACTAAATGTTGTTCAGATAGAGGAAAATAGCAGTAAAAGCACATATAAAGTTGGAAACTATGAAACAGATACAAACAGTTCTGTGGATCAAGAAAAATTCTATGCAGAGCTTAGTGATCTAAAGCGGGAACCTGAACCACAACAGCAGCCTACCAGTGGAGCAGTCGACTTCTTGTCCCAGGATGATTCTGTATTTGTAAATGATAGTGGGGTTGGAGAGTCAGAAAGTGAGCATCAGACTCCTGATGATCACCTTAGTCCAAGCGCAGCCTCTCCTTATTCTCGCAGGACTAAAAGTGATACAGAACCCCAGAAATCCCAGCAGAGCTCTGGAAGGACTTCAGGATCTGATGACCCTGGAATATGTTCTAATACAGATTCAACCCAGGCACAGATTTTGTTAGGCAAGAAGAGACTACTAAAAGCTGAGACTTTAGAATTAAGTGACTTATACGTTAGTGATAAGAAGAAGGATGTATCTCCGCCCTTGATTTGTGAAGAGACAGAACAACAAAAGTTTAAGAATGTAGAAGTCAGGAGTAACTTAGAACAAGAAAAAATAGAAACATCTAGACCCCTGGAATGTAGATCCGATGCTGAATCACCTACTAAAACAGCAAGTTTATCTCCTACTTCTAAACTTGGATACTCATATAGTAGAGATGCAGACCTTGCAAAGAAAAAACGTACTTCTCTGAGGCAGATAGAATCTGATTCAGATGCTGATAGAACCACTTTAAATCATGCTGATCAGTCTTCCAAAATGGTGCAGGTAAGTGGGTTAGAATGGTGAGTATATATATTTGATAGTTCTTTTATGGTTTTGTTTCTTTTTATATTCATTCATAGAACACTATAATATGTTACCAATGATAAAATATTAGGTATCATTTCTCATTGTAAACAAATCAGAAAATCAGATGATTAAAATGCTATAGTGGATGATGAAACCACCTCCACTTACAGCTGCAGATATATTCATTCGTTGGACATTAATTTATGAATCAGGATTTTGCATAGATGAAATTTAAAGGTGTATTTGACACTTGGCTGATAAGAGTAATGTCTGACACCCAAACTATAATACAAAGGCTAACATGTTTTTACAAAGTTATATATAACAGGTAGATTTTGACCTATTTCTCTCTTATGCACTATTTTTTATCAATTCTCATATATATATATATATATGTATATATATATATATATATGTCTTTGTATTTTTAGATTTTCTGAAATTAAGATATTAAGTATAGAACCTAGTATATCAGAATTTAATTGCCTTTTTTCTAGTAAGTAAAATAATGGACATTCCTAATGCATTTATTTATAGGAAATGGTAAGTTAATGTTTTACGTAGCCTTAACAGTTACTTTGTTGCCCACTGAAGCCTAGTACTTGTGATAACAATCACATATCTTATACAGATCTTGCTCTTAAACTTTGCCTCCCATGAGGTGAATGGTTGAATCCCATTTTAAAAATGGAGAATGTGGGGTTTATAAAGTTTCCTTAAGATCATAGAATAAAATTTAAAGTATGTATACAAAACCAATATTATCTGAATACAAGGCCCATGCTCCTAAACTTTGTGATTTAATAGCACTAAAAAGTCATAACCCAAATGTAGAGCAGTCAGCATTACTAAAGGACAATTTAGCAATGGGCATCAAATCCCTTCAAAAGGTTAATGGGCTGGAATGTAGCTCAGTATTGCAATGCTGCCTAGCATGTGGAAGGCTCTGGATTCAGTTCCCAGCCCCAAAAGACAGGCAGGTAGGTAGACAATCAGGGGAAAGGGAAGGGGGGAAAAAAGGAAAGGGAAGGAGAAGAGGAAAAGGAAATGAAAGGGGAAAGGAAAGGGAAGGGAAAAGGAAGGGGAAATGGAAGAGAGAGAGAGAGGAAGGGAAGGGGAAAGGAGAGAGGAATGGGGGGAAGAAAAAAGGAAGGAAGGAAGGAAAGGAGAGAGAGAAAGAAAAGTAAAAAGAATAGAAAAGAAAGTTAGTTTATGTCAGCTGGCTATATGATGCCTGTAGTCCCAAATAACCTGAAAAGCTGAGGCAGGAGGATTACTTGATTGAGCTTAGGCAACTTAGCCAGACTGTCTCAAAATAAAATTCAAAAAATGGCTAAGGATATAGCTAAATAGTCCTGAGCTCAATCCCTAGTACCACCACCACCACAACAACAACAAAAAGATGTTTATCCCCTTAAATCTTTCTTTCCAGAATTATTTCTGAAGACATTTTTATACAGCTATAATTGTATATGAAAATTTGCATAAAAGGCTGTTCATAAAAATTTGTTATAGCTGAGTGTCAGTGGCTGATGCTTATAGCCTTAACTATTCAGGAGGTTGAGATCTGAGGATCACAGTTTGAAGGCAACCTAGGCAAGAAAATCCATGAGATGGGCTGGGAAGGTGGCTCAGTGGTAGAGCACTTGCCTTGCATGCATGAGACCCTGGGTTCGATTCTTGAGCACCACATAAGCAAAAAGAAAAAAACCGGAAGTGGCGCTATGGCTCAAGTGGTAGAGCGCTAGCCTTGAGCTGAAGAGCTGAGGGACAGTGCCCAGGCCCAGAGTTCAGGTGCCACGACCAGACCCCCAAAAAAAAAAGAAAATCCATGAGACTCTTAGCCCCAGTTAATCACAAAAACAAAACAAGAGACCCTGATTGGGAATAAACCAAAGGAAACCTTTGTCTTGTAATATAAGTTTCTCTAATTTGAGAAAAGGAAGGGGAATCACAGAAGAGCTAGGACTAAGGATGAACCACTGTAACAGTAATACTCACCAGACACTAGTTGGAAATAAACTTTATAACTTGGGATGTAGGAGAATTGGTCATGGGGTAGGGGAGAGGATGAGAATGGGAGAAAATGAGGGAGGGGAGAGGGCAAAATTGATTGACAAGAAATGTACTCATTACCTTACTTATGTAACTTCTGTAACCCTTCTATACATCATCTTTAGAATTAAATTTAAATTTAAAACAAAACAAGAAAACGCCCTAACTGAATCTTGCAGAAAAGCTCAGGGACAGCACTCAGGCCCTGAGTTCAAGCCTCAGGACTGGTACCAAATATATATATATATATATATATATATATATATTGCTATAGGGAAGCACTGTTGACAACCTATATGTCCAATAAAATGAATTAAAGTACAAGTCTTCTAAATAATAGAATTCTAGCTAGCCTATTAAAATTATGTTCTGGGGCTGGGAAGGTGGCTCAGTGGTAGAGTGCTTGCCTTGCATGCATGAGGCCCTGGGTTCAATTCCTCAGCACCACATAAGCAGAAAAAGCTGGAAGTGGTGCTGTGGCTCCAGTGGTAGAGCGTTAGCCTTGAGCTGAAGAGCTAAGGGACAGCACCCAGGCCCAGAGTTCAGGCCCCATGACTGGCAAAAAAAAAAAAAAATGTTCTTAAGAAAAAATATAAGGGCATGAATAAAAGCTTTCAACAAAATATTAAAGTGAAAAAAACATAATAGGCCTGGGGTATAATACTATTATTGAGCACTTCCCAAGGATATTTATCCCCAGCACTGTGGGTAAAAGGGGGTGGGGAGCACAATTCTATAGTAATGATCTCTGAATAACGTAAAGTACATTTTTTTCAGTTTTTTTTTACTTATATGTATTTTCTAAAAATTCTATAATGAATATGAAGTACGTATGACTAATCAGAAAATAAAATCTGCTTATGTGCTTTTAAGGCCAAAGCAGTTTTTTCACTATTTGTGTAGCTGGGTTGAAACCACAAAAGGACTATAGAATTTAGACCTAACATAGGACTTAAAGATGATCTATTCTCATTTCTAAGGTAAGGAAATGGAGGGTTCTTTTTAATGGTAATGTTTAACTTTTATTTAGCATTTATCATGTGCCAGTACTCAGTAAACTATTATTTAATCATTACACTATCTTTATGAAAGATAGTCTACTTTTATCTTTTGTCTACAATTAAGTGATGGAACTGGCATTTGAACCCAGGTGTCACTCCAAAATTATTATACATTATATAATGGAATTACACTATTGTTTTAAGTGACATCTGTTCAACGTTACATTGCTTATTATTAGTGGTACAATAATTTAAACCTGATTTTTGTGTGTGGGGGAGTATTCCTGGGGCTTGAGCTTAGGACCTTGGTACTGTCCCTGAGCTTTTTTTGCTCAAGGCTAGCATTCTATCACTTCAGTAACAATTCTACTTCCAGCTTTTTGGTGGTTAATTGGAGATGATATTCTCACAAACTTTTCTGCCTTGGCTGGCTTTTGAACCACATTCTTCAGATCTCAATGTCCTGAATAGCTAGAATCACAAGTGTGAGCCACTGGTGCAGTCAGTGCTCCCCTTCAAATCCTGAATGATGAAAATGTTCTGGAATTAGGTAGTGGTGATAGTTCCAGACCTCATGCATATGCTAAAAATAAAATAAAATTATGCACTTTTTTTTTTTGCCAGTCTTGGGGCTTGAACTCCGGGCCTAAGCACTGTCCCTGAACTTTTTGCTTAAGGCTTAGTGTGCAACAATGCCACTTTTGGTTTTTTTCTGTTTATGGTACTGAGGAATCAAACCCAGGGCTTCATGCATGCTAGGCAAGCACTCTACCACTAAGCCACATGCTTAGCCTATTTATGTTTTTTTTTTTAAGGAAAACATTAAGATTACAGAAAAAGGGTTTAAAAAATAGTTATAGTCAACTATGAAGATTTTATCCCAAAGTGGTCTTTTCAGATAGTTTCACATTATAGTAAATGAAACAACAGATTTATTGTTTACTTCCTTTTCTTTGACTATAAAATTATACTGTAAAAGGGAAGAGAAGTTAAACATCACAATAATAATTATCTAAAACTAAAACATGGCTATATTAATTTTTTAAAAAAGACTTTGGACTTTGGACTTTCAGGAGTATGGGTGGTACTGCCTATAATCCCAGTACTCAGGAGGGTGAGACAGGAAGATCAGAAGTCCAGGCTACCCTGTCTACATAATGAGACTCTGTCTCAAAAAAAAAAAAAAAAAAAGATTCTGTATATTGTACTTTTGGTTGTTGCCACCATTTAGGAACTGATTTCCAGGTCTGGTGACATGACTCAGAGTGTCAGATGTGAGCAAGAAAGTAGAAAAAGTGTGAGAGACCTTGAGTTGTTTAAGTCCTTGAAAGATTACAAACCAATCCAAGGGAATATTTTCCCAATTTTCATATGCTTGTTTCATTTTAAGGAGAGTGAACAAGGAAGAAGGAAATCAGACTTAGTTTTTTTTTACAAACTATAATAGTTTTGAATTTTCCATAAATATTTGTCATTTTATAAAATTATTATCATATATTATCTTTATCAGTATATAAATTTGGGGATACATTGCTATCAATTCTATTAGACTATAAAAATAAAAGCTGAATGTTTAAAAGTATCTTTGGTTCCCACATTATACTGTTATCTTGGGCAAAGATGAATAGCACATAATATAGTGCATTTATATGCATTTGTATAAACACACATTATGAAAATATGTTCTAATAAAGTTAGTAAAGATGTGTTTATTTCTTTCATGTCAAGATTTTTATATTCTGCTTTCATTTCTATAGGTAATCTTAGCAAGGAAGCTACAGTGTTATTACTGATCTCTCTTATTTCAACAGATTGTCTGATGTTTAATTAGTTTAGAAATGTAGATTACTTGTTTATTTTTGTTTTGTTTCTGGCTTCTAATTTTGTGTCTTTCCTTTTAAGCATCGAATGTTATCCCGACAAGAAGAGCTTAAAGAAAGAGCAAGAGTTCTGCTTGAGCAAGCAAGAAAAGATGCAGCTTTAAAAGCCGGGAATAAACAGAATGCCAGTGCAGCTACACCCCTGTACAACAGGCAGCTAAGTGATGTGAGGAATATTAGTTGAAAAATCAAACAATCATTAATTCTAATCAGAACTATATTGATATCAGGAGTAATTTGCTCTTATTTCTGGCTTATTTTCCCACAGGCATTGTATATTATAAGTACTCAGTACATTATGAACTGGTGAATTCATACATATAGAACCATGAAGTCGTTATTCCTAAACAGTACTTCTAGATAAGAGGAAACATAAGATCCTGGAATAGAAATTCCACATTTGTGTTTTTTGTGCCTTTCCTTTTTTTGGGGGGGGCGGGGGAGGGTCCGGTCGTGGGGCCTGACCTCTGGGCCTGGCCACTGTCCCACAGCTCTTCAGCTCAAGGCTAGTGCTCTACCACTTGAGCCACAATGCCACTCCCAGCTTTTTTCTTTCTGCTTATGTGGTGCTGAGGAATCAAATCCAGGGCCTCAGGCATACAAGGCAAGCGCTCTACCACTGAGCCACCTTCCCAGCACCTGTGCCTATCCTTGTACTATGTTTAAGATTACATTTTTACCATCAAAGTTAATTTTATTATAGGTATTAGAATTAGGATTCACACCTGTAATTCTACCTGAAATCTGAGGATAAAAGTTCAAAGCCAACCCAGGCAGGAGAGTCCTGAAAGACTCTTATCACCAGTTAATCACCAAGAAAAGCTGGAAGTGGAGCTGTGGCTCATGTGGTAGAGCACTATCCTTGAGCAAAACAGCTCAGGGCCAGTGAATGTCCAGGTCCTGAGTTCAAGCCCTAGGGAAGGCACACAACAAAAGTTACTTTGTTGAGTTTGTATAAACTGTGTTATATTTTATCAGTTTCTAGAAACTGTAGGACATCCGTGTCTTTGTATTTTTAAATATAAAGTTTAATAATCAAATCTACACATGAATTGATTTTAACTTATAATACTGGATATTTGCAGGATCTATTTGGCAAGTAGATTTAAAGAATCAGTTTACCTATGTATAAATTTTACATTTCTTAACAGTTACCATGTAGTATGGAGTACTTGGTCTGTGTCATGCATGCTTCTGAGTACTTCTACCTAGCTTTTCTAATTTAATGACCATAACAATTACAAGTTTTATTATCCTCATTATGGGACAGCCAGAGCCTGGTGCTTGTGGCTCACACCTGTAATCCTAGCTACTCAGGAGGCTGAGATCTGAGGATTGCAGTTTGAAGCCACCCTGGGTAGGAAAGTCCGGCAATAAAACTCTTAATCTAGTTACCCACAAGAAAACCGGAGATGGTACTATGACTCAAAGTGGTAGAGTGCTGGCCTTCAGTGAAAAAGTTCAGGAACAGCACTCAATCCCTGCAGTAAAAAAGTTCAGGAACAGCACCCAATCCCTGAATTGAAGCTCCACAACAGACAAAAAAAAAAACAAAAGTGACAACAGGAACTGTACCTAGATAGTATGACTTCAGATATTACATTATCAAAGCATTGTGTTTGATTCCTTGCTTGCTTATTTTTCTGGCATCCTTATGAAAATAGAATGGATATTATTATGGAGATTAAAAAAATGAGTTTGAAAAAGATACTTTTTCAGCAGAACAATGGCATACATATATCCTACTCTAATTATAAATATCTTTCCCACTCAACTATGAACTATTCTGAGTTCAAGAATTTGATATCTATATCACGGAATATTCAGTAAATGAATGAATGAAGGGAATAATTTTTTTTGGTCCATCATGGGACTTGAACTCTGGGCCTGGGCGTTGTCCCTGAGCTCTTCAGCTCAAGGCAAGCACTCTACCACTTGAGCCACAGCGCTCACCCAATAATTCCGCTAATGATGACAGTGAGATTTTCATCACAATGTTGTTCTAGTTTCAAAAAGGTAAAGTTAAATCCCTTTCCTATATTTCTTTAGTATGTTTTAATGTGTCTTTACTATAGCATTTGTTTATCCCACTATAATTATCTAATTATAAATCTCTCTCCCATACAACTATGAACTATTCAAGTTCATGAATTCAACCCTAGCAGCAAGTATTCAGTAAATGTTCAGTGAGTGAATGAAAGAAATAATTTTAAAAGATTGTTTTCATATTCTCTAAGTAGAATCTAATAAAAAGGTTTAAATGAAGAGTTTGCTATAAGGAGATTTTTGGTAATAAAAGTTTAAAATTTCTTTAAAAAAAATGTTTCTTTGGGGCTGGGAAGGTGGCTCAGTGGTAGAGTGCTTGCCTTGCATGCTCAAGGCCCTGGATTCGATTCCTCAGCACCACATAAGCAAAAAAGAAAAAAGCCGGAAGTGGCGCTGTGGCTCAAGTGGTAGAGCACTAGCCTTGAGC